CAGAGGGATAGAATCAAGATCACGTGAAGTGTTCATACCACTTTATAATGTGTAAGGCCACACTTGAAATACTGCATTCAGTTTTGGTCACCACGATGTAGAAAAGATGTGGAGACTCTAGAAAGAGTGCAGAGAAGAGAAAGAGTGTTCCAATATCTCAGGGGTTGCCACAAAGAAGAGGGGGGGGTCAAACTATTTTCCAAGGCACCTGAGGGTAGAACAAGAAGCAATGGGTGGAAACTAATCAAGGAGAGAAGCAACTTAGAACTGAGGAGAAATTCCTGACAGTTGGAACAATTAATCAGTGGAACAGCTTACCTCCAGAAGTTGTGAAAGCCCCAACACTGGAAGTCTTTAAGAAGATGTTGGATAGCCATTTGTCTGAAATGGTATAGGGTTTCCTGCCTAGGCAGGGGGTTGGACTAGAAGACTTCCAAGTCCCTTCCAACTCTGCTATTGTATTGTAATATCCTGAAAAGTCTTACAAGTATATTAATAAAATGAAAACATATTTTAGGAAGAAATATCACTCAGTATTATTTTAGTGACAGAGTTTTATCATTTCAACACTAAACTAGTTTAGCTGGAAGTTTTACATATAGCAAACTCAGGGTTGGTGGCATAGCTTGAATGTCATCTTAGAAACTGATGTAAATATAATGTACTTTTGTAACTTCTATTACAAATCAGAAACTGATGTAAATATAAATAAAAAACCAGAATTGATAGGATTGTGGTGGGCAAATATAGAAATTGAGTAAATAAATAAATTTATTAAGCTTCTGATTTTGAAACAATACTTCAGGTTTTGAATAAGAGTTTTAAAGAAGAAATAAAACTGATCTAATAAACCACTTATAGTTTTCCTCTGGCGGAGAACTTAAATAAAATTTGTATATCATATTATGCACATAACATAAACAATTTTTCTCTAGAGTCCTCTTCTCTTTAAGCTGAAATACGAGAGAGAGGTGGAGGAGGAGAGGTCTCTTTCTTAAGCAAGCAGCACTAGCCAATGAGGGCACTTCTCTTTGACAGTTCTGAAAGCTCTCTGTCATAGCAACTAAGAAACAATCTACATCAGTCAGAAGAAGAAAAACAGAGGAGTCATATACTGATTTCTCCATGGCATCCTCTGAGCAGAAAAAAAAGCCACTCACCCATGCTGCCTTACGTGAGAAATTACTGAAAGAAGAAGAGGTAGGATTTGTGCTGAGACTAATAATACAAAGAACAAATTGTATTGGTATTTACTACCTGGATTCAGGAGTCTGGCCCACCTTTAGACTGTAAGTTGTGTCAGTTTATCATAGTTCATAAACATAATCTGAATAATAACTTTTTTCATGTATGGAATGATGAACATAATATTACAAATTCAAACTATGATGAAAAAGAGGACTTGAAATGTGTTCCCTGGAACAAATTATGTTATCAAATAACAATTTTATTAGGATTACCTGCCTTTAAATATGTACAATTTATATTTAATTTAAGCCTTGAGATTCTTGCAATTAAATCCAATGTGCTTGCATATCAAATTAAAAATGAATTATTGCTAGTAAGCGAGCAATAATTTGTTTTTTTGTGTGAATGAACCAGACAAATTATAGATCTTATTTTATATTTTAACTCACTTTCAACTTTCATTAACTTTAATGGATATCATACAAATAGGGTTTCTAAGTTATCCTTACAAAGCCAACCATGGAACTACTTGGTAGTTACTACTTTAAATCAGGCATTTCCAACCACAATCTGTAAGCCACATGCAGCCATAAACAGCAACTAATACCACAAGACCATAAACATATAACATTATTACGTGATTTATATAAATTAACTATATTGTATATTTGATATGTACAAGACAATTTTTTTCACTCAAGTGGAACCTAGGAAAACCAAAAGGTTGGACTTTAAAATAACACCCAGCATTCTGCTCATTCTCTCCATAAGGAAAAATGAAAAATAACTTGCTTCAAACTAAGCCAGCTGTGAAATATGGTCAGCCATGTCTAATCCTTCTGTCCCCAAACACAGGAAGATTTTTTTTAAAACCACTATGTTTCTCTGCAACACTATCCCTCATGTTTGAAAAAATATTCTTCTTTCAACTTACCTCAAAATGATAAGAATAGTTTATTTTTTAAATTACATTTCATATTTCTAAATCACCCATCTCCCTCAGAAAGGGGTTCTTGCATTCTCCCAGGTCATACCAAGAGTGCAGAAAATTTAGCATTCAGATAGCAAGTAATTTTAAAAAGAATTGGCCCAATTGCTATCCAGCAGTTTCAAACCCCTCCCATACTCAGTTTTAAGGATGAGTGAAAAGATAGTAGAGATGTTTGAAAGCTCAAAATATGTTTTAAGTTGAAAAGACCTGCTCCTGCCATTAGAAATATTTTAAAGTCAAAATGGGGTTACTTTGATAAATGATTATACAAAACAATTTTGAATTAAGGATAGTTATTGATAATTTAAAATATTTTGAACTGAAAAAATTGACATAACTTTGATAACATAGTGCTGTATATTATGAATTATTGTGTGTGGAAGGAGAAAAGTAAAGAATCAGAAGGTATGGAAAGTTAAGAGTCCCATCAATAGAAAGAGTCTATCCTCCATGGTTTAAGATTCTTACAACAAAATCACCTTCACTGTAAGTCCTCTTGCACAATAGCTAAGTAGAAAGTAAAGTGACTCAGCTGCCCAACTGCATTAATGAATTTCACACTATGGTACAGTTAAAAAAAAGTTCACTTATAAAACTATAGTATTTATAAGTGAAAAATAGATTTTGAAACAATCATTAGGACCAAGATACTAGGTCAGTGTTTTTCAACCACTGTGCCGCGGCACACTAGTGTGCCGTGACATAGTGTAAGGTGTGCCGTGGGAAAATTACTTTTTATATAGTCAATATAGGCACAGAGTTAAATTTTTTTAACATTTTCTAATGGTGGTGTGCCTCGTGATTTTTTTCATGAAAAAAGTGTGCCTTTGC